GTTGCACATAATTTATTGTTATTTAAAACACTACAAATAGTTTAGAATTGTTCAAACATTTGAATATATTGCAAGAACAAGTAGGTTTAGAGACAGATCGTCGGTATAATCTCCTTCAGATAGTTACAAATGAGTTGAATAAAAGTACTTAACCGTTGCGTTTGCAAACTATTGTCTGGATTTACAATAGAATTTCATTGTAATGTAGCGGCAACAGCTGATTTATCTACTGTCCAACATACCTTATTCGTTTTTTATTTGTTTGCTTCCCCCTTATGACGTTTTATATCTATGCTTATGATCAATTAATGACAAAGACGATTGTATTATCAACGCATGGACAGTTTAATCAAATAGATCTAAGACTTAATAATAACAGAAAATTAATTCATTCAGATTGCTGTTATTAAATATTGCAAAAAAAAATGATTTAATGATTTAATTGAATTCATATTTCGTTGGGATGATTTTAATATTTTTTTTTTCGTTCATAATGTTTGGCTTCGTTTTAGAGATGACATAGGCTCGACGGGTGACGCCGTCATTGTCGTAACATCTGACGGCACTTAAGCGCTTCCAAGGATCGCTCTTTTTGCAGTAATGGGAAAGTCTGTAGTTATCTCAACCCCCATGTTGCTACTTAACGTATACTGTTAACAAAATTGGAATGGCGCACTTGGTTTGACTTCTGAGTAGCGCTGTAGAAGCCGGATTTCGTCCAGTCTGTTGTCGTGTTTAGGTCCATCTCAATGAGACTAGGCTTACGGATACATCTGGTTTAATTGCGCCCACCATTGAACAACACACTAGGCCCAGAGAGAGTCTTACAGAGTCAAGTGCCGTGCTTGGCTGGGTGCGAACTCCAGGCCTAGCCTATGATATCATAAATATACACACCGCACAATTTTAATAACATATCGACAAATATAACAGATAGGGGAAGTTCTAATTAAAAGTGCGTTTTTGTAAATATTTATTCATGTTTTTAAAATACAGTTTAGTTCACAGGAATAGGACAATATGGTATTCGGAAATAATAATACTATAATGTGTTTGGTTTTATATACACTGAAAGAAGTGCTTATTATTTGGATTTTATATTAAATTTCTTCATAATGAAAGGTAAGTCGTAATTATATACAATTTATGAATTACTAATTTTAATAGGCCCATATATTTTTTTTACAGAGTATAAAGCTTTTTAATTATTGTACATAGTATAAACGGTAAATATTACAATTAGACAGTACCGCCGTTCAACAGAGCATATCAAATTAGTCTGCGATATTAGCCTATTTATATAGGCTATACTTTATATACATTTTATTTAAAAAAAACACCAAATATAATCGAATAGGCCTATATATAGCCAACACAAAAACAAAAGAAGTGCAAAAAGGCCTCATGGTTATACTTTAATTGATTTAATATCGTATGCCTTAGCAACTGATCGAATATGTGATGTATACAGGATATATATGTATATATATATATATATATATATATAATATATATATAAATGTATATATATAGGCCGTATACATATATATTTATATACACGTAAAAGTAAATAAATAATAGGCCTAATAGTGCTCAAATAGGAACATAGAGGTAGAGTTAGTTTCATAGG